TGTCAATCAGTATGTCCAGTGAAGTTAGTGATGATGCGTACTATAGCTTATGTAAGAGCCAAGCTCATTATTGACAGAATTAAGTATTCTAGGCCACTGTAGATTATTGCACTGAGCAAAAGGTCAAGATTGAGGAAGTCCTTGACTCCAGTCCTGGCTAATACAGGCAGATTTTGTAAGCCTGTCACTACAGAGAAGTGTGCCCATCTGTAAAATGGAAATGACTGTTCTGTTTTGCAAGGGAGATGGCAGTTGGGTATGCTGTTATCAAAATAGATAGAATGTGTTATAAATAAATCCATGTTATAAATTCCACTTTTGATCTGTGTGAATAGAAGGAATAAAAGTTATGTGTGGTTAGAAGTCAGTCTATTGTGAGATGCAGCATTAAATATGTTGGTGTTAGACCAGTTACTCAGTCTCATGAATCTCAAATGACAAAGATAAACGCACAAAAATGCAGTTCTGCCTATATACGGAGTGGAAGTTGTTCTAATATTCTGTAGAAGTTGTGTGAACTGAGGTGGTACTTATCTTTTGTAGGGTTCAGAGGAAACCAAAGGTACTACAGGTACCTTTCCAGAAGTGTTTGCTTTGCGTTTTAATGGTGTCGGCACACCAGTAAAATTAAATGCTGGAGCTGTCAATGTTAAAAATTAGTTTTATACACAGTTGCTATGGTAATTAGCAAATACTCATAAATAATTTTAAAAGGTATCCCTTGCCACCAGAGTTTGCTACTGGAACATGTAGCATTTTTGCTGCCGAAGTTCTCCAGGTACCTTTCCAGAAGTGTTTGCTTTGCGTTTTAATGGTGTCGGCACACCAGTAAAATTGAATGCTGGAGCTGTCAATGTTAAAAATTAGTTTTATACACAGTTGCTATGGTAATTAGCAAATACTCATAAATAATTTTAAAAGGTATCCCTTGCCACCAGAGTTTGCTGCTGCTGCACTGGAACATGTAGCATTTTTGCTGCTGAAGTTCTCAATATGCTTTCAGTCTCTTTAGTGTTCCCTGGGAGTTTATTTTGATGAGTTCAGCTTTCACAATGCTCTTGCACACTTCGGTTACCTTGTTATTGTGTCCTCCATGGGAGTTGTCTGGTACAACTAACACAGGAAAATCTCTCCCTTTTTACGTTCACTTCATTGGAGATTTGCCTTTCTAACAGTAAGTAAAATTCCTAGTTCCATACCGTGTTTGCCTGTTTGCTCAGCCCCTCTTTATGCTTGACCTTGGATACGCACAGTATTCCTGAGATAGCTCAGTGATTTAGAGTGGTACATGCTGTAAGTTATGACTCTCCTTCATTCTAATGAGCGCTCAAAAATATCAAAGAAATGATAATGGTGAAATTTTCACATTTCAAAGAAAGTATATTTATTATCAAACCCTCTATTCATTAGTAATGCTTCAGAACTGGATGAGAAACAGCTGTTTTTTCCTAAGGAAGGTATCTTTTCCTTGATACAGAAATCAGCTGCATGCCAGTGTAGATATGTTGCTCAAAGATTTCCCCTTTGCTATTCTTAGAGATGTTGCATTTTCTTATTTACTGTTGGACAATTCCATTTGGCTAGACTAGTTGCATGTCTTTACATATAGGCAGTCACTATAACAGAGCTATCATCTTGGTTTTGTACATACTTTTCTTGGTGTTTGTCTTTGGAAACTAATCATTGTATTCTGATGGAGATAAAACAGCAGCTCTCGTGTTTGTGCAGCCTGAAGTCCCATAACTTACTATCAATGAGCCCTTCATTTTACATAGGGCAGTAGCCAAAGCACTGTACACGATCCTGAAATCTTTCAGTAAGCTACGATGTTTTTGAAGGGGGGAGTTTACCTGTGCTTAAAATGCCAAACTGAATAATTACAGGGTAGACTGGACACAAGAGCAGTGCAGTGAACTCTGTGGTGCCTTCTGGTATAGTTTTTGCCTTAGGCTAACTTGTATTTGTGGCTGTAGATACTGAAATTTTATTTCCAAAATTGTCCATGCCAAAGAAGCGAGAAGAGGGCTTGGAGTAGTAATAGATTGGAATGAGGGTGTGCTATTGTGGCCTTTCTGCTTTATATCCATACGTACTATTTGACCGGGCTAAATTTAAGATGTTAGTTTCAGTTAATGTTCCCTAGCGTGAGTCAGCTGGAGGGGGGGATTTTTCTTTTTAAGTGTTTAAAAAAAAAAAAAAAAGTTTATTGTAAACAATGCTGCTAATTTTTGTTTGTTTTTAAAAGCTTTTCAATTAAGTGTTTAATGAGAGTAGGAGGATCCTGGAAATCTACTTTTCTGCCCAATTTCATTGCTGTTGGCAATTTAGTATCACTAAAGGAAGTTCTATTGGGTGATCTCTTACGGCATCCTTCTTGTGTGGAATGACAATGTGCGCATTTACGTGTGCATACACACATGGTTTGTGTGCGTGTGTGTGTGTATCTGTGCGTATAAATGCAGTTGCTTTATTTCAAAGGGGATGGCTTAATCTTCTCCAGTGTTGGTTGCAGTCCTTCCTGGGGTCAGAAAATGTGACCTCACGTGTGCTGCTGTGATAGGGTAGTTTTTCCCTTTCATATGTTAAAACGCACGAGTGGATTAATAAGTTGAAAAATTCACAGCTAAATTGACTGCAGTACAGCATTTTCATCTGTGTAGCAGCTAATATTGGGTGATGACATTTTCTGTTCAGTGTAACTTTTGAAGTACAGATTGGACTCGTGAGCGCGGTGCTGGCTGGCCAGTTGTGCCTTTGGCAGCTGCCAGTGCTCTGGGCATCTGCATCCTCCAGCCTTCCCCCAGCCCCTTCAGCTGGCTGTGGAGTCACAGTACAAAAGGCTCTACTTCTTGTTGCAAGTCTACTCCGTTAGAGGTAAACCTCTTCATAACTGCAAACACCTTACCTACAGGGATTGTTGGGGTTTCTTATCATGTTAATTTGCTTCTTTTTATATCTTTCCTGTTGTCTCAGCCTGGCTTGTCAGTTGTTTTTGCACCACTGTTCTTTAAACACTACATTTTGGAAACATTTGTATTTACAAGCCCAATGCAGCACTGTTGTCTTAACGGTTTGACTGACCCTAATTGCTGTGACACATGTAACTAATGATGTTTTGTACTTTCAAGGAGTGCACTAAAAAGGTGATGACATATGAGTTACTGAATACGGTACTGTGCAACTTGTGCAGTAGAGTTTGTGCAGACCTTATGTAGCATAATAAGCAGTTTTCCTGTGCTCATATTTGTTTCCCGTCGGACCGGGCTGTCTCCAGCACTGAGGCTGCACCGCACACTGGAGGTTCAGGGGGAGAGAGAAGCAGCGTGCTAAACCGATCTCTCGGCTTGAAGAAGCCTAATTTGATTAGGCTTTGATTTGATTCTCATGATTTCTGGCAACTATTCCACTATGTGTGTGCGTGTATATATGTGTGAGGAAACCGAAAATGGGTGTAAAATTAAAAAAAAAAAAAAATCAGATTGCCCTTTTAGTTTTGTTTACTCTTCAACCACAATCTGATTTATGCTTATTGGAGTCTTTGAACTTCAACTCCCTTGAAGAATCTCTGGTCTGTCGCTTTTTTGATGTTGCTGGAAGGGGGATGTGTGCGCGCGTGCACGCGCTCGCATGCTGCGGTGCTCTGGGCAATTTCACTGCAGAGCGCTTCCCTTCCTTTGCTTAACCTATGACCTGCGCAAACAAGAGTTAATCAAAAGTTCTAAGGTAGCTAAGAGGAAGGGGAAGTGTTTGGTTACAAATTAAATATGAGCAAGTCATAAGCCATAAATCTTCAGTAGTGCTACCAGTTGTGCTACTTAAGTTGCATGTGGTACAGAAAGTTTTTGGTTATAAATTCAACCTCCGTTACTTTGGAGAGGGTGTGTTTAAAGGCTGCCTCGAGGATTTGCTTTTTGTAAGAAAAAAATCCACACCTTTGCTTTTTTCCTTTTGGCAGAGATCTAGAAACAAATTCAGATATCTATATTTCTTGATTTTTTTTTTAATGCTTTTTTTTTAAATTTAGCTGGTCACAATTTGGTCTTAGAAAAGCAGAACTGTTTCACTCTTGAGTAGCAAACACATGGAATAAGTGATGAAGTAAAAGTATTGAAGATGGCAGGATAAATCAGTTTTCTAATGTACCCAGAGCTTTCAGGATGAGAGAGATCCTGAATTCGGCAATGACAAAGGAGGGAGGTGAAAATTGAAGTGAGATTGTCTACATAATTCATGCAGTTTTGTATTGAGTTGGTTTGTTTTATCTTGTCTTGCACCTCTCTCGAGCAAGAGCTGCACAGATTGCCATGTATCGTGTTGAGGTCTGCTTCAAATACCAGCTAATTTCCTCTATTTCAAAACTATGAAGCTTCTCCTCAAAATGGAAAGTTATTCTTAAAATAAGAAAAAGAAGCAGTTATATAGAGATGCTAAACCATTATTTGGAAAACATGGATGAAATAAAATTTTAAAAAAATGGATAAAAATAAGGAAGAGTTAGTGTTAAGCGAAGGACAATAATGAAGTTCATTATAAGATAATAGTAAAGAGAAAAGGGAAAGCCAACAAGGAGTGAGCAAGTATGACAGAAATAGGGTGATACCATCCCTTTTGTTGTACGGAGGGTTTGCTGAAGTTTTGACATTCTGTGAATATGAGACTTTACGTGGGTTATTTTTACTAGATCACAGAAGCTATTTTCTAGCTTCTGAGTGAAAGAATTAAAATTGAATTTGGATGGAGTATTCTCATGGGTAGAACCTACAGATTTGTCCTGTTGAGTGTATTGCAGTACTAAGGAAAACTCCCTTGAATCTGTAGCAAGGTAAGGTTTAGCTGAGAACAAACCGGCCCCCGACAGGACCGATAAGTAAATCTTTGAAGAAGGAACACAACCTGACTTGGTTTCAGAGCTCTGTGTTGTCCCTGGGGGTACAGGCACCCCTTGTTGCAAATGGTGCTGGGACCTGGGCTGCTGTCAGCCCCAGGCGGTGGGGTTCGACATGAAGCGCAACTTGGCAAAGCTGAGGTAACTTGCTTTTGTTTATTGCTTTTATACTGATACATATATTATAAACTCAATAATATTTTAAAAGATTCTCACTGTAATTCTGTAAATGCAGTTTTCCAGCAAGGTCCCTGAGCAATTAAGTAGGACTTTAAATATGCCTTCCTGACATAAGTTTGGGTTTCCTACTGTCAGGGGCTTTCTGCCGCCTTGGTTTGCTGTCTTTTCAGACTCTTTTGATAGATGCCTTGCAAGGATTTGTTTACCAGGTTCTTAATCTCTACTTAGCAGATATGTTTTGAGAGGATTTCTTGTTACTCTTGTAATGACTTTTAACTCTGCTGAAGTTTATTTAACTAAACAGAAAGAAAGAATCTTCTAACTAATCCTTCTTGATTGTTTACAATATAATGCCAAACTTAAATGCTGTTTAAAGTGGTAATTGTCTGTCTTTCTGCTCTATTCTAATACAAAGTTTGTAAAGATGCTTAGAGCATATTAATTTAAATGATAATACTGTCATATAACATGAAAAGTTAAGTTGCTTATCAGTATATTTTGATAAGCTACTTACATTTTACAGTAGCATTTGCAGGCTTCAAACAAATGTTAATGATGGAGTGCCATTCACTTTATCTGTCTCATATATAGCTTCTCACTTCATTTATTACTAAAAGCTGTACAGTTAGGAACCGTGGGGCACTCAATTTTTTTTAGTTGTCAGGATGTAGTCATATTTTATAAAAACTTTAAATGCTGTCTAGCTATATCAAAATGGAATCCATTTGCTTCAGGAAGCATCTGTGATTAAAGGGAGAATCAGTTTGTGCGTCATGCAAACTGGCTTCCCTATTCGCTGCAGCTGAGGGGAAATTCCTTGCTGGTATTTAAAAAAGAATTGAAATAAAGAACTATGTCATGAAAATAGGGTACCAAATCATACCACAGCATACTGTAGTGAGAAGTAACATCTTAGCTGTCTGTCTTATTTTATGGAATGGAAACGTAATGTAAATGAAAATGATGTGATTTTTCTGCATGTTTGTCTTTTAATTTTGTTTCTTTATTACTTCTGTAAGTTGAGTGCAAATTTGCTTAACATAAAGTTTCTATTTGACCTGAGGGCTGGGCTAAATATGCTGATATAGGATGTGGAATAAGATTTGACAACAGTTAAAAACCGCAATACTGGTTATGCAATTTTAAAAATCCAGTTGTATCAGGATTCCAAAACAAAACAACTGTCTATCTGCAGTTTAATAGAACCCTCAGCAGCCGTACAGAAGGCTAGTTATTCAACGTATACTTTGGGAAATAATTACAATGAAAAATGTTCCACTGTACATGGATGCAGAGACGTTAGCATACATTTACCTTCCAGGTTAAAACCTTCCATCGGATCGTATGCTTGTTATGTGCAGGGTGAGAAGGAAGGTGACCGCGGTTGGTGTTTAGTGCCCACAGGTGGCTGGAAGCGCTGGGGAAGAGCAAATGCTGAAGCTCAGTTCTCAAAGGAAAGGGCTGTTCAGCCTTCCGGCGGTGTTCTCCTTCAATGGGAAGGTCTGATGTGGCTTTCCTAACAGATATTTATAAAGTGTCACGTCCGGCGGAGGCTGTTGTTAGGATGCATCTGTATGGTAAAGGCCAGCAATCTTTATTAACTGAGATTTAGTAAGTTAAATATATGCTTTTTCCTTCTTTTTTTTTTTAGTTACCTCCCATGGTTTGAAGTCTTTTATAAGCTGCTCAATGTCTTGGCAGATTATTCAGCAAAAGGACAGGTATTATTCTAAAGTACTAACCCTTCTTTTCCCTGCCCCAAAATCAAATGAGGGAGAGTGGATGAGAACAAGCTGTTTTAAGAAGTGCTTATATCAGAGATGACCATGTGAATTATTAATCTGTATGATGCAGTAATATAGAAGATCATATTCAACCAAGCTGAAAGCTTGGCAAGTGCCTTTGAAAAATAAATATGCTTTTAAATTATTTTTGGGAAAAGATGGAGTCCAAGAATGTGACTGTGGATCCACCACAAGTAAGTGGTTTCCCTGCAGTCACCGCGCTGTGCAGACTTTCCGATTACATGAACTGTGTGCAGCACATCCATGCGATTCTCGTATTGAGGGGTTTATCCACGTAAAGTAAGTGTAGAACTAAGCTTACTGATGCAAAATGCTTACCCATGTCATGTCATCTAACCGAAGGCCTGCAGATGCTGTTTTGCTTTTAAAGCAAAACAAAGTGAAATTCAGTCTTGAGGCAGCGAAAAAGTGTGAACTAAGCCGTTAAAATTTGCTTCTAGGTTTATAAATGATAATTCATGATACAGAGAAATCACATATGATTGCAACACCTAGCCTAGTTTTATGTATTTAAAATACTACAAGTATAATCTTCCCAGTTAGGTTTCTGCTTTGATTTATTACCATTTTGTGGTAATAATTGTATTTTGCATTTGTCAGAGTCATTCACACTTGAGGTAGAAGCACTTAAGATCACATCTTCATCTAGATGAATTAAATACGCGTAGCTTTACCCTAAGGTAGTGAGTTGTTATAAAGAACTTGCAGTGAAAACTGGCTTGCTGTGAGCTGAGTAACTATGTAACACACAGGTTGGTGACTCAGTAGATTGCAGAAATATGTAGAAATACATATTAAAAAAAAAAAGTATTCTAAACAAATCATGTTATAAAACCCAGCTGTCAGAGGAAACTACATTTGTTTCTGTTCAGTCTAATGTATAAATCTATTTTCACATTTTTCTTTACACTTGCAAGTTCTCTAAGCTCCCAATTCCACAAACATTGCCCTTCCATCTTGGAGTTTAGCTTTCTATAGCAATGCCTACTTAGTATTCTTTTTTTTTTCTTTTTTTTTTTGTTTTTTCTCCTTATTTCAGGATAGTCAAAGGAGTGAGCTCCTAGAAAAATTTCATAAACTTACCATCCCTGAGCCAGGAACCTCTGTTCATCTTGGAGTGGTAAGTGAAGTGGGAGAGATGTAAACTAAGGTGTTTAATTTTCATTACATGTCATAATAGAGGAATGTCAAAAGGAATTCTCCTGTTTGGAACTCGGTAGCAAATGTTGTTTTCCTGTGAGAACACAGACCTGTGAAATTCCCCTTTTCACATTTGGGGCCCTCTGTTTCCCTTTCCTTAACCTCAGATGTCTTTGAGATGCTGTTCTTTAATTGGAGGAAGATTGTGTATATTCCCCATGGAAGTTTCTCACCATATCATCTGTGACCTGCGAGAGGTCACAAAGCAGCAACATGACATTTATTGTCCACGCTTCTGCAGAACTCCTAGATCTTGCAAGTATGCAAGGGGGACAAGACTGGAAAGCAAACTGTCAGAGCAGTGTTTTCAGCATTAACTGTTTATCCCATTTTCTGATTCCTCTCCTCTTTCTCCCCCCAAGACAAAGACGCACAAAACAGGATTTATTTCACCTTTTTTTATCTTGTGAGAAAATTAATCAAAGAACACTGAAAGAATAGATGTGGGATTTCATTGATGGGATTGTATTTTGAATTTAGTCTTTTGGGGTTTTTCTCTTCAAATTAATTTTTGCAGACCGACCTTGTGTTCCAGTCTGTAGTGAAAAAAAATACTTAAGATGCACATTGCTGCAGTTGCCAATTAGTCATTTAGAGTTCACATGGAAACTAGTGGTGTGTGCAGTCACAGTTCTCTTCTGCCTCTCATTTCCTTTCCTCCTCCTGAAGTACTTTTTGGCAACAAGCAGCTTACTCTCATCACTTCACCCTGTAATGTCAGTCGACAGGTAACAGTTGTTTGGCCTTGCTAGGTCACCAGCTGGCAGCAGCAGTGTCCCAGGCCTCTTGAGGCCAGCTCTTTATGAACAGCTCTTCTGTTTAAGGGGACGAGCTGTCTCGAAAGGCAGCAATCGGTTGGGATATTTTGGTTTTTTCATACCAGTGGTTTCGAGGAATGCTGCCAGTCTCCCCTTGTCTCAGACATTTCATGGGCGATGAAGCAAGAAAGGATATAAAAAAGCAGCCAAGGGACTGTTAGCTGTGGTGTCTTTACACATTTTATTTTGGCTGTTTACAAGTGTATTTTGGGGTTGGGGTGATACAGCTGCGTATACTATTCCTGTGTCTTTGCATCACATCTTTTCAACCAAACTGAAACAGTGATATATCAAAAAGCAAAAATTTGTGTTTATACATTTAGTGTCTATATTCAGTGTAGCTGTTAAACCCACTTTCTATTTCGGGTTATAGACTGTTCATGAAGCACTGAAATGTCTGAGATATATATACAAGAAAATTGTGCCAATTGTGGGACTATGCCAAGAATATAACAGCCTTTAAAGCTTCAGCAAGTAATTAATAAGTAGCCCTAAGACAAATTGTTAACATGTTAAAAATAATATAAATTGCATACAACATTGATTTACAAAAGCAGTTTGGTCGCGTTCTCTCCTTTCCTTTCCCAAAGCCTTAACCAGAATCGGGCAAGTCATGTGTGCTCAGATTGGGAACTAGAGTGAACCTGGTCTCTTGGAATGCGGACAATTAAAAATGTAACAATATAATGGATTAGTCTTTCAAAATGTGTTTTTTAAGGCATATAAAAGTGACCTAGGACTTTAGTAATGTTTTTCAGGTAAGTAGGCATAAAACTTTAGGAAGCATTTCTCAGTAAATTTCCATAACTTCACCATTGCCTTGAGTGAAACTTACTGCTGCTCTAAGTCGAAGGACCTGCTTGCTGTTGTTTCCTATAGTCCATCATGCAACCTGCAGTGGGCTGTGGAGCTGCCTCGGAGTTTCCTTGGCATAGGTCATACACTGGGTGAGTCTGTATCAGCGTCTCTGAAGAACAAAAATATGTAATAAAACTTTTAAGGAGCATTTGATACTTTCTATGTTAATGCATTTCATATTGCACGTGTGATCTGAGAACCCAGCTTTAAAAATCCATGACAAAGAAGTCACACTGGTAGTTGGTAACAAATGTTCTGTCATTTTTACTTAGCTGAGCAACTGCTGTTACTGCTGTTACTAATACCAAGCAATACATTTAGATTGCTTTTGACAATATTGCAATAATCAATGTTTGCTCTTTTTTTAGCACTCTTACTTTACTGTGCCTGACATCAGAGAGCTTCCTAGTATACCTGAAAATGTGAGTACTCTAGAGGACCGTGCACTTTACAATTTCTGTTTAATGTCAGCAGCAAAGTAGATAACAATTGTTACTTCTGTTTGGCCTAGTAATAGATTGTGTTCTGTAAAATATTGCTAGATGTTGGAGTAAACTTTAGGTGGTTAATTTATAGTAAATATTGCATGGGAAACATTGTGTTGCTAACTGCAAAAGTACATGAGTAACAGGCATTTTGAAGTACCAAGTGAAATTAGAATTTAATGTTTGCCATTTTAATTAAGAAAAGATAGCAAATGAACAGGACATTGACAGCGTAATTATCTCAAGCTGTAAGTCAAGATATTTATTTAAAAAATGTAAAGCTTTTATTATTATCACCACTCTATTATTACTTACTGTTAACATTCCATGATTTATTGGTTCTAATAAGTGAGCAAATTTAACACACACATCTAGAGTTTTCTCTTTCTCAAAATTGGGAAAGAACAGTGATTTGGTAACTGTATGTAGCAGGATGGTGGCATTTCAGAGAACCATTTGTGTGAAATTCGTTCACCTCAATAAGCCTATGAAAAATTCTTGAAAGTAATCTCAAAGCACTTTTGTGATTGCCATTTGAGTGAGTACTGCAGGAGTCATCCTTCACATAAAAATGCAGGATTACCACTTTACCAAGATTTTAATTTATATCAAAAAGAAGAGAAGAATTTGTTGAGGTATTTCATCTTTATAGCTAACTTGAATCAGGGTCTGTGTTCTCCTAAGTTCCAAAGAACTGCTGTTTTAAAAGAAACTTAATAATTTCACAGCTAAAACAGCAACTTTTTTCTTCTGCATCCAGATCAACGTTTCGTTCTCCATTGCTGTCCTCACACTGTTTTAATAGTTTTCTTGGTTTTCTTGAGGTATGAGACTTTGACTACAACATGAAACTTAAATTTTTAGTTTTAGTAAACTTGGGAAGTAATTATTGGGACCTGCTGGAGAGATAACATACTGGTTTGAAATTAATTTTATTTGAAAAAATATTTCAATATAATACAATTTCAATATAATATGTTAGTTTTGTTTATTAAAGTGTTATGGCTACTTATTGGTCAAGCCAAGGATATAATCTTGATATTCAGTATTTTCAGTGGAAGAGTTCAATGTTTGAAACATCCATATTGCTAGTATTTAAGAAAGATCAAATACCACTTTGGTATTAACTTGCCTTGTTCTTTACAGGCATCAGATATTATATATCCTTGCTTAAAACATTTTGTATTGATTCAAACGAACACCTCAGCTCTTTGCTTTCAAGGTATATTATTAGCTGTAGTTGCTCAGGCGGTCATTCTTTTCTTTGTGGTAGCATCTTCCTTCTGTATCATATTTCCACAATAGCATTCAAGAGTTCATAATCTGCATTTGTGATTAAAAGCTGAAATGTATTAAGGATAAAGTACTAATGGATGGATTGATACGGGTAGAAAAAAAGCAGATCTGCTAATCATACAGTGAGACCCTCCTGAAAGAATGACGTAAGAGACCAGTAAAAATGACGGCTTTCTGAAAATGTCAAGCATACCTGGTTTCTCTAGGGCCACTTTTTCAGAGTCTTTTAAACCTCACAAAGTTGTCTTGTATGTGTTTCAGCATGCCTTGGATTTCTGGCCAGTTGATAGGTCTGTGGGAAGACAATGCTGGCAATTGCTTCTCTTGAACACTCTTTTAATATGCTCCTGCTATGCCTCTTACCCAAATTTCTATGCCTGACATCTCAGTTTTCTTTCTTGAACATTTTGTGGTCTGCCTTAGCACCATATACCTCAATTTATGGCATAAAAAAAGAAAGAAAAGGGAATCATCGAGACATTTAATCTCATTTGTGGATGATTTGTGTACTAGATAACATTTGGGGGGTTTGCTTCTGTTGTTTTAAAACCTTGTTGCTAGCTTTTCTGTGTTGTAGACTTTTCATACTGACATGTATCCTGTCAGTAAATTTAATAGATGTGCTTTTTCCTCTAAAGAGCTTTATTTTTATAGAAATATGATACATTAGGAGTCATTCAACAGTCAGTTCCTGAGTCTAAAGTAGCTATCAGTCTGCAATGTGTTCTGTCCTAATCCAGACATGAAGTTACTTGTTTATAGTGGTTATATTTTATGTTAATCTCTTTTATGCTAATCATCTCAAACGTTAACAATTTTTGTTTGATAAGCCTCAAATCACCTGGAGAGCAAGGAAGGAAGTTTATTTCCATTTTGCAGCTGGCAAATTGGAGGGCAGAGAGAAGTGAGCTAGTAATGGTAAGAAACCAGTGCCAGGGATTAAAAGTAGATCATCTGCCTTGGGCCTGCTTTAACTGATATGGAACAGTGTAGTAAAACACACTACAGAGTAAAGGCTTCAGGAAGTATAGCTGTGTTTATGCTCCGTTGGTTATGTCTGCTGGTGATGTTCGCTTTATATTCAAAGGTATGAGTCAGCTTCCCACAACATTTGAGCAGGAGACATGATGAATGCTCGTGTATCAAAGGCTGTTATAAAAGCAGAGGCCTTGGGCCAGAAGGAGCTGGAAACCCTTTGAAAGCTGAACGCTCAGCCTTCATGAGAGGGAGTGCCATGTGATGCTAAAAAGCATCCTCTTTGAATCATTGAGTGGTGCTGATGTGCCTCAGAGGGAATGTGACTGTTTCGATGTAGGTATCCTGTGCAGTGATGTCACCGTGAAGGATGAACTCTCCGCAGTGTCTGGGGTGAACCAGGCACCTCTGGGAATAGACGTGGAAGAACATTTCATTCACTTAACAAATATCTGTGCCCATATATATACACACCCCCAAATTTAAAAGGCTAGGGCTCATTGTAACAAAGAAAAACATTAAGAATCAAATCCATCGGTCTAACTGTTGTTGCAGTTGACTGTCTTCTATTTCTCAGGCATTTTGTTTGTTAACTTTTCTCTAATGACTATTGTGTAATTTCTTACGAGGATTTTATCTGTCTGTCAATGCAACTTTCATGTAGAATTGTAGCATATTAAGGAATAACACAAGGACATTAAATGAGCATAAATCATAATGGATTTTAATCAATTGACCTAATTTATTGAAAATTTTACATTTTGTATCAGTAACCACGTTTTAAAACCCACATTAGCAACAGTTTTAGTAGTGCCAGACTTTGAAGTTGTATGTAATGATTGATGGAGAGCCGCATAGAACTCTATTTGGAATGTTAACAAACTTCTTGGAATTATCTGACTTTGTGTCAGATCAATATGTTTAATGAGTCACAGAAACCTTTAGCATGGACACTTTTATCTAACAGCTAAGCATTCACTTTTAAAAAAGATTTAAGTTATATGAAAGATTTGTAAATGCATTGTGAAATAAATGGGGTTCATTGCAAGAAATACAGAGCAAGACTGTAGATTTCCTAGTAGAATCTGTTGTGTTTCAGAAATACCAGGTAAGTTAGCAGGCTGAAATGGTGACATTTTCTTGGTGATCATGTTCTGGTGTATTTTTGTATCACGGAGTCCTATATTTCAAAATACCTATTCTCATATTTTATTTTGAAAATCCCACTTTTTATTCTCTCTCTCGAGGTTTAAATCCTAGGAAACAAAATACACAACAATTATACTGCAAATTGGAATGCTTTCATTTGTATTTATTTAACTCATTCATGGTTTTGTCACTTACGAGACATGTCTTTCAAAATACATGTGTAAGTCCCAATTTCATCTTCAAAGATGACAGCTTTCTTATAAATAAAACTTAGAGCTAACACGTGAATTTCCTTAGTATCAATACATTTCCATACAGCCCACATGCTTCGCAGGTGTCATTGGCAAATTTCTGAGAGCAGAGAAGACTGAAACCTTATAAACCTTTCCGTCCATTGGAAGGTACATTTGTGTGTCAAAACCAGTATTTCGCTACAATAAACTTGAAAGAATAATTGCAAATCAAATCCCTGTGTCTATTTTCCTCTCACTAGTGGATACTGCTGCCCTATAAGCACATCTGTGCAGATGCATATCTACATCTTCACGCAGAATGCAGGGATTACCTTCTCCTTTTGCCATGCCCCTAATCGGGGTGACATCAAAGGGAGTTCAGCGCCACTTAAAAATTCTTCTAATTTCACACTATTTGCACTAATTGTGTCGTCATGCACCATGTTTTGGCGTCGTGGAAAGATGGGTGAGAGGGGGAAGAAGAGCTGTAGAGAAGACAGCTTATGTTTAGACAAAAATATCATGCTAATCAGCACAGATGGGATGAGAAATACAGAAAAAGTACATGATAGTTTAATAGGTTTTTGGCAAAATGTGTTGGCTTTTTTTTTCTTCTTCTTATATACCTGTCTGTGGCTATAGCTTTTCTGAAACAAAGACCTGAATGATTGTTTTAGATTAACATGTTTGAAGCTAACCATAATGAGCTTAGTTTTTATCTATCTAGATACTGGTACAAAAGTCTTCCAAATATAAGGCTTAATTTTTCTTTAGTTCTTTGTGTTTGGATGGCAAGCTGTGGAACATATTTTTGCACAGTATGAAGCATCTTGGCAGACTTCTCAGGCCAAGTATTGGTGGTTTTAGAGTTATCTTTGGATCTGTCAAAAGTGCTAATAGGCTTTGTTGAGCTTCTTTAAGTTTCTAAATCATATTTGCTTTTTGCTTTTCTGCACTTTTTTATTTAACGATGATTAAGATTGCACTTGAATTCATGACTAATCTAATTTTGCTCTCACATGTGCTTTTTGTATAAGACTGTCTTTATCATATAGCAACCCTTTCATATCTGTAAGAAGCTATTTGGAAACAAATTCCCAATTCAGCATTTTTGGATGTATTACCTTTTCCTCCACCACCCCATTTTTTTTTTTTAAACTCGGTGTTTTAAGAAGTGAGAATATCCTCAGCAAAAAAAATCCTTCTTTGTTTGCCTTGACTGTAAAAGCCCCTCATAGCATAATACATTTTGATCAAGTTACCTACGTAGTGGCTTTCTAGTTTTGATAGTAAAGATCTTAGGATGACATTCTGCTGTTTATTAGAAGACATCTTAATTATTTAGTAAATGATGCATGATTCATGCCACTACAGCATGTGCAGAGGGCAATTCCATTGGTAATGATGAATGGATAATGTTGCTGGCTGATGTGGGGGATGAAGTAGCCATAGCCTCCTGTGCAGTTTGCCCTGTTTTCTTTTTTGAATTTCAGTTATTTACAATATTTTGTTCATAGGTACTTTTTAATATTCTGAGCAGCAGAAGCAAGGAAGAAACCTGTGTTGCCTAGGAAGTGTATATGTAAAGTTTCGGCAGCGTTACTTGCCTGTGTCTTGGTCTTTCTAGCTGTACTTTAAAGGCACATTGCAAATGTGCTTTGCTTACAATATTCTACTGCAATCAGTTTTCTTTTTACTATATAAATGTACTGATCACTCAAAATTAACTAAAATTGGATGTTTGAACCTGCCTCTTCATTAGAGATGGGCATCCACTGAAATTTTCAGAGAGAGAATTCTCTGTCTCGGTTTCCCCAGCCCCAAGAAAGTGCTTTCTGTCTTCCGCCAAGGGCAGATGTGTGTCTGAATGCACAAAGCGAGGAGTTCAGACAACCTGTGTAACTGGTTTTAGCTTGTGTGTTAAATGCCCATGTGTATTGCCAGTTATCAAAATTCTTCTAGCATAGACTGAGCTTACATTTGAATTTGTCACATTAGAGTTGTCCTCTAAGAGAGCTGGTTTTATTGTTGGGTTGTGAGATTTTTTGGGTACTTTATCATGCAGCTTTGAAGTTTCCATAAAAGTGACAGAACATATTTTTTCTCAGAGCAGTATCGTGTATTTAAGAAGCTGTATGTGAAACATCATCAATTTTATTATTCCAAGACCTAGCTCCCCAAAAGTTAGGGGAAAGATACTGCAATTAAAAAGTACTCTGACATAAGATGACATACTGCTTTCGTTGGCTAAGCCACGTACTTGATGTAGTGTAATAGGAGGATGAAATTTGGTTATATTTTTTGTTAAGGACGCTTGTTTTTGTAATATCATGAATCAAAAATTATTTTCTCTCTTCCCAGAGAAATCTGACAGAGTATTTTGTAGCAGTTGATGTCAACAACATGCTGCATCTCTATGCCAGTATGCTGTACGAACGCCGCATCCTCATTTGTTGTAGTAAGCTGAGCACTGTAAGTAAAATGCAGAATAATTTTTTCTATTCACAGTACTTTTTCTTAAGTGATAGCCATTTATTGGAAATGATCTGATGATCTCCAGGTCCCTCTTGCAACTGCAGCTATGCAACCTCAGCTCAATTTTGTGGTTCTATGTGATGGATTTAGTGAACTTCTGTTGGCCTCTAATGTTCAAATGAAAAAGGGGGTTTGGATACAGGAATTCTTGACGTTATTTGGTACATAAATGTACAAACATTTATGCTGTAGCAAAGTCCCTTTTTCATAATTTACTTGACAGGAAAAAAAAAGATAAATGATACTGTCAGATGGATGTTCCAGTGACCTTCTCTGGATGGACCAAAGGAGTGGGCTAAAATACATTGACAGTCCACGGTTTTGCAGTTTTGTTTGATAAGATGTAGTCTTAATGCTACTTAGGCTCCATCAAGGATCTGGGAGATGAAAGCTACTGGATAGTCTCGAGTACTCTCTTCTAAAAATGGCTGGACATCAAAACAAGCACACAGCTTGATTTAGTTCAAAGTTTTGTGTTATGTGTTTCAAGGTTTATCAGTCAATAAGATTGTGATTTTCTTATAAAAGAAAATGTTAAGTTTTCATTCTGTTTGCTCTGTAAATGGGTATTGATTGCTTTCCTTTATGAATGATGAGCATAATATGGTTTAGCGAATTTTGCTTTCTAGTGCTATGGACTAAGTACTTGAGCAGGCCTTTCTAAAATACAAGCTTCCATTTCCATTTGTATGGTATCAACTAGTCTTTTACTGCATGACCGTGACCTACTTTGTGTTTGAGATTAAAATTGCTTCATAGAATTGTAAATACTATGGAAGGCTGAAATTATGTACATAAAATCATGTAAGGATGGTCTGTCGATACGGGGCAGGAAAATGAAAGAGAGTAAGACTTTATACTTAATCTCAAAATAACTGTTACAATATTGTTTTAAAAGGTAAGTGAACCTAGGAAAGTTAGACTTACCTCTGGGACCTATTAATAATTATTAAATATTTACAATCAATCCCACATTTAATCCAAAGAATTTAAGTATTATAAACTTCAATATCGTAGAAAACTTGTAAAATCTTAACTTTTGTATCTGCCAAGTGTTCTATTTCTTCCCTACTAAAATAAGCAAAGATATATCCAGGCCTGGTAATTGAATAAGTTCAAAAAGAGAGGTGTTTATTTCAAAAACTTAAAGAATGAAAAGAATAGTAAATTATCAGAGAGGAGGAAAGAAGAGAATGGCTATCCAAAGCATTTCAAAATTTGTGTGGTTGTTGGTTTAATCTCTCCCTTTGTGACAGAGCCTGGGAAGAAGAATTACTTACCTGTCACGTTGCCTTCCTTAATGAGCCATTTCACAAGTAGGGTTGTGTTTTCTTTCCTATCTTTCTGCTATTTCTCTTCCTTTTGCCTCTGTCCAAGATAAAAGCATGTCTGGTTCTTTGGTAGGGAGGGGTATTCATACTGTGTGTTCTTAGCTTACAACTTTATATAGAAACTGCTCCAAGACTGGAGTGACAGTGTAAGACAGGTTTGAAGTGTTGGGCTGGAGCCAGTGAATCCTTGCCTGCACGCTCTGCTCTGCGTGTTCCAGCAGTAGGAACAAGCTGCATTATTTTATTTCAAACTGTGCTCAGCGGAAGCCAAGACCTTGTAACTGGAAACGTACCAAACTGAGAATTCTCAAAGTAAAGTGAGGGTGGTGTGGTGGTGAGGGGGATTGGCTGCTTTGTTTTTAGTTTTTGGGTTTTTAACAAAAAAGTGGGAAGGGACCTGTTTGCAGTTCATTTCTTTTAACTTTGAGAGATATGCCACACTTCATGCTTAAGGCTTAAATTTAATATCAGGTGAGAGAGAAAATTGAACAGTCCTGGGTAGAAAGTCCTTTATGGTTGAATGAATTCTGTGCTATAATGCATCATATCAAATTCAAATTTTGATTTGAAATATCCTTAATAGAGTTAACTTGAATAAGATTTAGAGGTAACTGAATGAGGCTGTGTTTATTAGCTATTTTATAAACCATGTGTACTGAGCGTATGGAAGATTTATTGCTGTTTTCTTGGATTTTTTTCTTTTCCTACAAAAGGAAACTCACATAATTTCTCAAAATGTTAAAGCAATTATTCATGTTAAATTTCTTTACCTATTCTGTGATCTAACTACTCATGAAAAGCCAAATATGAACCATAAACCCCTGTGCTTGGCAAAAGACCACCTGCTGTGGTGGGAGCGTGCTGTTGCAGAAATGAAACAAGGACTTTCTTTGCGTCCATTATTCTGTCTTCAATCATAACTGGCCCGTGCAGCCCTGCCTCAACAAGGTACGTTAGCTGTTTGTGCCGAGGGCAGCAGCAGGCTGTCTCTCCTAATAGAAGGGTGGCTTACATGAAGCCTGGTGACTCCTAAAAGACTTAAACTTGTGAATTTCTGGTATGGTTCTGTTTGGCTCCATCAGACTGAGGTGAATGTCTTTACATAATTTTTCTGTTCTTTTTTGAGTGTTAGTACAAAGCAAAAAATACCACTCTGGCATGGATGCTCTTTTGTTCCTGGGAGCTGAGAGCTGGCCGTGTCACTGTGCATGCTCTGATGCACAGCCTCCTGGACTCTGGCTGGGTTCTGACAGGCTTTGGGGATAAGCAGTGGTGGTCCTTAGGAAAAGGCAACATATGATTGATTAATACCTTCACCAAATGTCCTCGTGATGCAACATAGCTAAGAGCTTGCACAGTTCTTGTTCTACAGCAGTCTTACGACTACTGTTTTAAACGTACAGGCTCTTTCTTCCCAAGAGGTCTCTTGCTGTCCTCGCAACCTGCCAGTGTAGGTCTTGACCTCCATACACAGCCTTTGCAACAGCCCTGCTTTCACTACTTAATTCTTATGTAGCTCAGTCTTAAGCTTTCTGCTTGGTTTTTAGCCCTGATTAATGCAGAAAAATAAGCTTACAAACACACAAAAGGCAGTGATTTTTCCCTGTATATATTGCACATTTGTAGCCCTGTACTACACCTGTAAAACTGCAGTGCGTATGCATTGGAAGAGAGGGGGTAAAATGTACTGGGAAATGGCCTGTTGGGATTCAGCATCAGTTGATAACTTTTATGTGTGTTACAAAATCTCATTGATTTAATTTGGTCAAATGAGGCTTTTAGAGTATTAAATATAAAACTGTGAAAAGTGAATTAGTGAATCAGTTTCTATCTTACATCGCTATCTCTTTACATTTTCTAGCAACAGCTGCAGGAAGCTGAGGTAGTGGAACTAATCTTATTTCAAAATGCTGGATTCCTATAGTTTTGACAGTTGGGCATTTCTCAGGCTGCCTTATTATTAAGTGCTCTGTTTTCTGTATGGCAATCACTAATCAGGTGAGGTCTCCAGCAAATACGCTATTTCTTTTTTATGAGCCCTTATCTTGGCAGAGTTGAAGGACAGTGCTGGTGCTTACCCATGGTAGTATGTTATTTGAATTCATGCCAGATAGCAAGGTGGGAGTACATCTCAAAAATAAGTGACAGGTTCTGCTCAGATGTCTGCAGTGTTGAGCATTACGTCTGTTTAATCTTTTCTTGCTGAGTTTTAAAACCAATGGGAGGGGGGCTGGGAAGGGGCCTCCCTGGATTACTGAGTTCACTCCTCTACAGCGGCACCCCTGTTATATAATAATGCCAGGAAATAATCCGTTTGATCCTCACAGAAGCATTTTTTAAGTAAGAATTAAATTTTTAAACAGTATTTTTTCCAGACATCTTTTTGATTTGGGGAACAGAAACAGAAAACATAAAGGATTTAGGAACATAGAGGGAAAACTACAGTGGGAAAGCATGCCGTTTTTTGCTGCTGCGTATTTTGGAACAAGGCTGTGCCGTTTGTCTAATCTGCGAGAGAGGAGCATCTTCCTCAGTAGGATTAATATAAAGATAAATCGAAATATAATGGGATAGGGATAAATCTTTAGTGTTTTGTGAATCATAAATAAAGAATAAATTCAAGATTTTATAGCTTCTAACTGTTGCTTTAATTAGTGTCCCAACATACTAATATTTCCATCCCATATGGAACATAAAATAACGTTCACCTGCTGTACCCTGTCTGCTTCCAAAGATGCTGTTTCCTTAGGACGGTGGTTCATATCTAGTTTAATTTGTTGTGTGTTCTCACTGATGGAAACACATTATCAGCACTGGGATGCTTTTGAGCTTTGTGGACCGCCTTGTTATGACACTTGCCAAACCAAGCGGTGCTAAGGTGAGGAGTGACTGTGTAGCTTTCGTGGGAGACAGAGGGGTAAATCTAAGGGATATTAAAAGAGAGTCAGACAACACTGTGTTTCCAGATGTTATCTGTATTTCTTGAGAGAGAAATTGGGGAGATACTGAAGTGGATGTTAAGATGGATGGAGGTGAAATGGTACTATTTGTGCAGATGAACATCAAGAAAATTTTTGGCCAAATTATCTATAGTTTGATATGGTAGAGAATTGGTAAAGAATGTAGGCCAAGAGATGGACATAATAGACAAGACAGAAACTAGGGATGCAAAAAGATTTTGTTTCCAGTGCCCGTAAGTGGTACAACTCTACCTCAGCGAGCAACTTTCTGTGTAGAGAAGCTTCATTGCTGCTTACTAAAATGCAGCTGCTGAAGTCTGAAGAAAGTAAGATCAAAATAGATTCTGGAAAAGAAACACAAGAAGAGAGATGAATCTGAAGAATGAGATTTGATTTCAGAAATTTATATTTGGAGTTGAAAGTTGGGTGTGATAGCATTCTCCATTAAATAAACTACAGTTCTTTGAGCTGTATTTCTATGAAAACACTTGAAACCTGTGGCAGTGAGGACTAGAACTAGTGAATGCATAAACAAAGGCTGAAAGAGTAAATATGACCTTTGCAAAAGAAATCCATGCCTCAAATCTTAAAGATCTTTAAAAATCTTCATAAGATTGAACAATGTTGAATTCTGCAAAGCTATTAAATTTTAACAGCACAGGAGAGTTTGATCCTCTTGAGGGTAAACAACTGGCTGAAAGTTTGAGGGGAAAAGGGTCAGGAAAATTACCAGTTTTCCTAATCGGGGAAGTTGCTGAGCGGTCCAACAGTGCTCTATTCTGGAACCTGTTCAATGTCCTCATGAAAAACAACTTTTAAAAAGGGGAGAAAATGTTGTAGCAGTCCTTTTGTTGCCTAGCATGGATAAATATAAAATAATGCTTATGGGAGAAAACAATTTTAACCATATAAGCAGTCATGGTCTGAATAACTGAAGTAATTATTACCACTCAGAAAGAGATACTGGAGGTTTTTTAAAAAAAGAGAGATCGATCTATGAAAATGCCAGCTTATTACTCAGTTGAAGGCTTAGAAGCCAAGAAATTATTATGAAGGGAGTAGAGAACAAAAAAAGAGGGCATAATGCCACTAGGTACATTCATGGCTTGCCCACTTTGTGACTTTTGCAGGAGTTCTTATCTGCTCCAAATAAAAAGTGATAAAAGACAGACAGTGAAAAGTATGGAGAAGGGTAACAAGAACAAGCAAATACACAAAATAATCTCTCAGGGAAAGCAGAATAGATTAGAGCTCTTCACTCAGCCTGGTAAAGGTACTGAGGAGACAGAGAACTTGGTAGAAATATAGAAAATCATGTGTGGCCCTTAGAAGGTAAGTAGGAGATGATTCTTTTATTTATTGTCTCAAAATGCTCAAAACTCAGAGCACACATTGAAACTGTGAGGGAACAGGCTCAAAATAAAGAGACAGGGCAGCACTTTTCAATGTATTTATTTGAATTCATTGGTACATGAAGTGTGAGCTGCAAGCTGCTGGGGACGGAGAAAATGGGCAATACCAATTTTATTGATGCATGTGTTGATCAGTGGTTTTAGTAATTTGTGTTGACCACTGTTGGACAGAATACTGGGAGATGGGATTTTTGATCTGGCTTAGTAGTCTGTTCTTTTTCTTAGGTTTTCCTTGATTAGGTGATAGGGATAACTTGAACTCAAAAACATTATTAAGCAGACAGATTATTCATATATTGTAGCCACAATAACAATATCTCTCAACTAGGTGCAAGGTATAGCTTAAAATTCTGGCTTTTAAACTCGAGGGGTTTTATTTCTGAAATGTTTATTAAGTCCTGTATGGGTTTACACCTGGCGTACTGGGTCTTAGGTTCTACATTATTTCTAAAACCCTGTGTCTATTTTGAGCTGTAAATTGCAAAGCATATTTTGGTTCATCTTTATAGTCACTTTTCTGCTTTTGAGAAACACCTGCTTGCAAAGCCCATACCTCACCGTGATTCTTACCTGAATGGCACTGCAGAGAAACACAGGAGTTCTCCCCAAAAATCTGTGTTCCTTGGTGCATTCTCAGTGCTCATCCAGATCTGTATTGTTCAGAGGCTTAAAAATAACACATAAAATATGTGCCTGTCTTCCATTTTCTTGCCTAATGACCTGTATTTTAATCAGAAACCCAGGTTCTGTTACTTACAGAAACTGCGTTGGAATTAGATAAAGGCTTTGGCATTGAACATAAGCCAAACTAGATCCAGAGCTGTAGCTGATGTTCCCTGACATGGAGCCTTAAGAGACTCTGTTAGCTCATCTAGACCATTTTCTTTGTCAGTCGTGGGTTCTCTATGAAGTGGTACATAATTCAGTAGTCGATCTTAATGGAAACAATAATAATAAGGGTCATCTATTTTTTTTTAAGGCCACACTGCATCTCCCTGAATTAGGATTAATGTCACTATTTGTCTTTGCTTAGTTTCATCTTGCACAACTTCAGGCCACCACAAAGACCTCAGTCTTTTAGAATCTGGTTTTTTGGTATTTGTGAGCAGTGTTCTCCTTCCTCCTATTGTCCAGACAAGCATTATATGCTTTATTTCATCGTACCTTCACGTAACTGGTAGGTGTTGTTGAGTATTGTTTTCAAAATGTGTCTCACAAGTGAAACACATTGTAGTGCTTGTGCTGGGTATCATTTGAGATTAAAAGACACGCTAAACTGCAAAGCACTGTCAGGGTGGATGTGATTGCCTGTCACCTCTTAGTCTTTTCCTTGTATGTGTCTATTTGTTTGAGTGTTCTAACTTATTTATTTATTTTCTGTTTTCCCAAGTGTGTTTGCGTGTTCACATCCTCCTCTTACAGTATTTTGACTATAGCTTTTGCTGAGATTTCCTTGTTGACGATTACCACCTTCTCCATTTTAATATCCTTAGTGAATGTGACAAATATCCTGCTTATCTTCTTTCCCACATTATTAATTATCATTTGAAATAGGATTGAGAGACGTAATTTCCTCCCAAGCTCTGTGAGGATTCTCCCCACAGCTTGACTGGCACCTGTATTTCCTCTTTGAGATCTTTTTCATTTGGTACCTGCCAACATCAAAACTATTCTGAATGAGTTTTTAAAAATATAACTCAGAAATTCAGTGGATCAAGTAATTTGGTGAAGGGCAATTAGATAAAAATCCCTATTAAATACTAAAAATGTAATCACTGAGTTTAGTGTGAAACGCATGCCACTCACACTGTGTCTTCCTCAGCTCAAATTTTTTTTCAGTTTGTGTTATAATTTCAATGCAGTTTTATGATATTTAATGGATGGTAATTACCAGGATTGGGGGATTTGCCTTTACTATTTTTTAGTTCCCTTTTTGTTTTCATTTCCATGTTTCTGTTGCTTTATAGAACACTGGGTGTTCTTTTCAGGTTTTGTTCATTGAATGAATCATGTTCTCAGCTGTTTACAAAGTCAGTCGAATGACAACCACCATAAATCAGTCATGTTTCACCCACCAATACCCTTTTTTAAACAAAAACACTGTATATTTTGTAATAAAGCATGTTGATATGAAAGCAGAATTGATTCTTTGCTTTTTTTTCTTCTAACTTTATATCTTTATGCTAGGTTTTTGTCTAATTTATGATCCTGTTTTAATATGTGTTTTTCAGTTAACTGCCTGCATTCATGGGTCTGCAGCTATGCTCTACCCGATGTTCTGGCAGCATGTTTACATTCCTGTTCTGCCCCCACATCTATTGGACTACTGTTGGTAAGGCTGTATATATATGTGTGTGTGTGTGTCTATATATATTTTATATATATATCACTTAGATTCACAACAGTTTTCACATTTCTGTATAGTAAGTCTTAAGTCCTCTTATGATGCAACTGTTACTCTAAAAATATCTAGGCATATTAAGGAAGCAACCAACCTAGTAAGTAAAAAAAAAAAAAAAAATTATGGCAAGATATAATTGTCTATAAGTTTGTTGAAATACTCTAATGTGAGTGGTTACTATGCAATGCTGCAACTTAGATACTGTGTCATTAAAATCTGTTTTCAGCATATCTGTGTTAAATATTAACATTTGAATTAAGACTCCAGTGGTAGAGGACACAGTGGAGGAGGTACTCTCTTTTTTCTGCTTTCCTGATCTACTTCTGGGGGTGGGGGAAAGCTATTAATTTTCCTGTGGTCACCTTCTGTTATCGGTGTGTGCTTAGAACATGATCTTTACCTTATTTAGGGGAACGAATATAAACCTTTCAAAAACATACTCATAATGTGACAAATTTTGGTATAGCCCACAAGCGACGTCATCTAATGCCAAAGCTGACCCTGTTTTTATCAGGGGCCTTGGACCAGTTGCCCCCCTGAGGTTCCTTCTAACCCATTCTGTAATGATTCCACACTGTTCGGGTGGGTGAGAAGCCTCCTTGTTCGCTGCTGAGTCTCCAGATTAGCATGTCTCTAGGCGTATGTCTTGGACTCTGTGGTTAATAGTTCAGAAGCCTGTCTGCAGTGCCCCTCAAACAGTCTCTCAGTTTTTACTTTCTTTTCTAGTGCAAAGTCCAAGAGTTTAGCCTAATCAGCCGTAACATCATCTCTCCCGTTTGCTGTGCACAGGAGTGGTGAATGAGCACTCTGAGTAATTAACAAAGAGGAAGTTTAAGATACTGCTGCTTTTAGTTGCTCAGCTGTTAGTTACTGCTTCCCACGCTCAGTTTGCGTGACTTGCCCTTTTTTTAATTCCCTCTGTGTATGTAGCGGAGAGATGAAGTTTGCCCAGAAAGAGTGGCCTTACCCTTGGCTTCCTTGAGAAGTTAAACTTTCAAGCCCTGTTAGAGAGTTAGTAGCGTTGTTGCCTGGGCATGCAGGGATGGACTTAGTGAGGCCAAAGCTTGGATGGAGTTAAACTGAGGGATGTAAAGGGCACCGAGAGGCTTCTGCAGGCTTGGAAGTTAAAGGAAAGCACAAGGAAAATGTGAATCTGCTGCTGCGTGATCATGTAGTCAAGTGATGAAGGATGCGGGAAAGGCTCAGGGTCTCAATGCCTTTGTCTCTTCTGGCAAGGTCTACTGGCTGGCCTTCTGCGAGGTAGACATGTTTGTGGGAGCGTGGTGCTTAATGCACTTTGGGGAATGATTTGCAAACATAGAAACAGCCTCCCTCTGCCCCCAAGCATTTTAAAAAGAGCTTCTCAGAAAAAAACAAACAGAAACTTACTGTGCCGTATGATACCATATTTTAAGTGTGGCTCTTAATGTGGAGGTTGGCTGGGTGTTTAAGAGTGATAGTGTTCCGTGTGACGTTTCCTCTGCATTTAAGCAAGAGTAAGGAACCAGCCGGGATAACTAGCATTTTTAAGTGAAGTGCTAGGAACTGAAACATGTAGATTTAAAGGAAGCTTGTTCCTCTGCAGATGATTTAAATGTTAAGTATGTGCCTATGTCGAGGATACACGGAATGGAATCTAAAAACTATTATCTCCTGTAGAAATGAACCTTCAATTTACTCACTGCACAGGAAGGGCAGATTCTAGTCATTTGCACTGCCAGCGGGTGCCCTTTCTCTGCATAATGGGCTTCGCATGTGTAATTAACACATGAAGGCGGCTGCTGCCAGCTTTTTCTTCAGGTACATGCTGCTAGGAGTTTTCAGGACAACGATGTGGACCACAAGAGGCTTTTACGCTGGGTTTGAAGATTAGGTATTCATCGACTTTCTGACAAAGACATGTTAAAAGGGGCTAAGTCCAGATCCCGCAGTTGGGAGCAGAAGTGTGCAAAAAGCAAACACTTGGGCAGTGTACCCAAGGAAATAAAGACACAAGTCATTGAGCTCTACTGAATGAATTCTTTCATGGCGTAACACCCTGTCTGTACAACGAATGAGCCAGCTAGTGTGTGAAAAGTATGATTTAAAAATGTATAATTATTAGGCAGATTGTAATTGAATGCTCACAAATACAACTGATCACCTTAGCCAGATATGAACTTTAATTGGAGAGGTTAGCTACGTGCACTGTAATTGTCTGAATAAGTCAATTTAGGAATAATTTATGTGCCATAAATGTATTTCTCAAAATAGAGTCCATCTATTTGGTAACCATGTGAACTTAGAGATGTCATTTTTGCCAAGGAGGACTGAGAAATTGGCTCCATGCTTTCCACTTTAAGGCGGTATTATTGCTTATTGGTGTCTGCCTCTTAAGGGAAATGACCTGAGATTATTTAAAATAAAATAGTTTAATTGTTTCTCTTGCAAATGTGACATAAGAATTTTAAAGAGCTGAAATGGAAACAAAATTTAAAGTAATGAGAATTCTTCAGTTGTTATGAATACAAAAATTACGTTCATTCAGTTGACTGTGTTTATTGCCTCTGCTGTATGATGCTTTTGAATCTTCTCCTGCTCTTTTAAAATCACAGAAGGGAATATAGTCTGTATTACTCGTGATCTCTCAACATTTTTGAAAAAGGTATATTCCACCTGTGATTATTTGCAGTGGAAATTTTTCGTATAAAGGAAATTTCTAAGGTCCCAACTGATCTACTTGACAGCTCCATGGTTGTGAAATTTTGAATTTTGTTGTATTTC